GAGTGCAATGGCGCGATCTCGGCTCACCGCAACCTCTGCCTCCTGGGTTCAGGCAATTCTCCTGCCTCAGCCTCCTGAGTAGCTGGGATTACAGGCGTGAGCCACCGTGCCCGGCCCCAGAACCTCACTTTGGTATACAGATCCTGCAGAACCTCAGAGCTGGGAAAATTCCATTTCCCATTAAGCGCCAATTTCCCCTTGCCACAGAGCACCACGGCAGGTATTTGGGCACACAGACTCCCGATTTACACATGTATAGTTATTTACAAGGGATGTGCTGGGTGGACACATGTTGGAGCTCCAACAACGGTAACCCAATGTATGGCACCTTGGCAGGCTGAATACTTTGAAATGATGGAGTTTGGATGACCTAAGCAGCCTCAGAAGCAAGTTCTCCCTGACCTCCTCCAGCCTTCCTGCACCCCTTGTGCCCCTCTTTCTCCCCTGAGGTGAGTCATAGAAAACAGAAGTCTCCCTCCCCAAAGTAGGTCATAGAAACTCTTCCCCCAAAGCCACCCATGAAACTTACAAATGTCACTCAAACCTTCCCCTAACCTTCTGCACAGGAGCTGGCCGTAAAGAAATTCTCTGACCAACCTTGTCTGAGAGTAAGTCCTAAGACCTTCATTCCAGAGGGGTAGTGCCCATACCTAGAAGGAAGGAATGCTGCACAGAAAGGCCAAGGAGAATCGGGACAGACAGGCCCTACTGGGCCCCCACCACCACCTCGGTCCATTCCCAGTCCATCAGACCTTTCTGTCCAATTGCATTTCTGCACCGCTGTCCACTCTTCATTGAGATTAAGCATAAAAATGGGCAGTTGTCCCTGAGCCTTTCAGTATTCATTTCTGAAGACTCACACGTCACTTTAAACTTCGACGAAATAAAATTGTTAGACTTCCCTTTTGTTTAGTCTGTCTTTTGTTACAGGAGTGTCAACCGTGACCCTTATGACTGTCAAGGAAAAGTCTCGCACTTTTTCTTCCCTACACATGTATATCACTGTACACAATTTGTATACACTATTTTGTATGCAATACAGATTTTTTAAAAGACTGGTCTCACTCTTATCGATCAGGCCTGAATGCAGTGGCATGATCATAGCTCACTACAGCCTTGACTTCCTAGACTCAGGTAATGCTCCCATCAGCCTCCCAAGTAGCTAGGACCACAGACACATGCCACTGAGCCTGGCTCATTTTGCATTTTCAGTAGCAATGGGGGTTGCCATGTTGCCTAGGCTTGTCTCCAATGCCGGGGCCCAAGTGATCCACCTGCCTAGGCCTCCCAGTGTTGGGATTATAGGCCTGAGCCACTGTACCCAGCCAAAATAGAATTTTTAAAGGAAGAGGAAAACTGTGAAAAGGATTTCTAATTTTTGCTTTCTGTATTCCAATGAATTATCTTGCCCCACCCCCAGGCGTGTGTGTACCCAGGCTGGGCCTCAGTTCCCTGACTGGGTGAGTCCACGCTCTCCCTGGAACAGGAGCTTGTTTGGTCTTTTCTAAGAACTTCGTTGGATACAGACCAGTCCCTCTCCATCATTTTCCACTCTGTTTCCCACTAGGCCAGCCAATACCGTCTGTCTGGGTGGAAATCCGTCTCTGCCCGGCCTTTCTTGGAGATGGAGGAAAACTGATCAGCATTCTTCCTCCGCAAACTTGGTAGCACTCGACTTGGTTTGGAAGATTGCGGAAGCGAGCCTTTGCTGTGTTTATGAGACCCCCGGGGTTGTTGGGAAGATCAAGTGATAAAGAGGATAAAGAATTTTGTGATACACAAAGGGCTCCAGAAATGTCAAGTGATATTATTAGCAGTGATTTGCATTCATGAAGGGAGGAATGGAGGGAAATTAAACGGGACACTTTGGACACGCGTAAGGAAACTGCTGTCGGTCTAGCTCATTCCCCAGGCCGGGGAGCCTTCCTGGGAGGACCCGTTGTCCTACACAGCTGCGCACAGCCCCTCTCCATTTCCACTTCCCTTCAGGTGGGAAGGGAACTCAGGGCGGGCGAAGGCGGTGAATTTGCATCTCCAGGAAGCGGCGGAGCAGGAAAGCAGCCAGCAGGGGGCGGCATTGAGCAGGACAGGAGCAGGCGAAGGCCAATTGCTCTTAAAATCCACGTGCGTGAGGCGGGGAGGGTCCTGTAAGGCGTCTAAATAACGCTTAAAACGGAATCAAATTTGTTTATTTCTTCATTTAGAGAGTTTGCTCCCACCCAGCCGGCTCGCTGAGCGCTGTGGAGCCTTTTGGCTCGGCTCACCTGAGATCAGGCACGTGTTCTGTGCGAGGCGCAGAAGGGACCCCAGGAAGTAAACCTGCGCTCGGGGTGTGCAGGGCTCCAAGTGTGACACACAAGGAACTTTGCTATGCAAGGGCCAGCTGCTAGTGCTAGTCTCAGACTTACCTTTCATTCAGTTCAAGACAAAGTGAGCGCAACTTGCCCTTTTCTTTTTTGTTAAATGAAAGAGGGATGAATGAATGAGATTTTCTGTTTTGAAGATTGGGTTCCCCTCCCTCCCCTCTCCTGATCCCAAAGTTGCTTCCCCATTGCAGGAACACAGCTAGGAAATTCGATGCATTCTCCCAGGCAGGAGCCTGGAGTGAGACTCAGGAGACCTAGGTGCTGGTCTCAGTCATGAACTGGCTTCTGTGCCTGGGGCTTCTCATCTGTAGAATGGAGGTCAGAGCGAGGATTTTCTCCTCTTCTACAGGGATGTGCTGTGACAGCTGGGGAAGGGCTGGCCATGCAAGCTGGGCTCTGACTGTCACCAAAGAGCCAGACCCGGCCACAGTTCATCCTGGGAGGGGGCAGAGCCCTTTAATGTGGGCACAGGGCATGTTCGCTCGTGAGAGTTCCCTCTCAGTTGTGGTGGGAGCAGCAGTTGAATGAGGCAGTTGGAGAGGAAGACTCCAGGCGGGTGGGCAAGAGAAGCTGAACCTGAGGTCTTCGGGGAGAAGGAGGCCAAGGTGTCATGGGCAGCAGGTGCAGGCTCCGAGCCCCACGACTGCTGACCTTCCTCCCTTCCTTCTCATCCTCAGCCCAGGTAAAGCTTCACTTCCAGCCCAGGAAAAGCTTCTCCCTGTAGCAATTATTGGCACCATTTAGTCCCAAGGGCTCTTGTCTCTCATCCCTAGGACAGGCTGTGGAGGTGACACCACTGAATGGGGCTGCCTGAGCAGGAGGCAGCAGGGACGAGGCTCCCAGAGGATAGGGAGCCCCTCTTCCATTTTTGGGATTATAAAAGATTTTCTGTTATCATAAAAGATAAAGTAGAAATGCTAAGACACGATTTCAAAATCTGTGATATACAAAAGCCTACATTGAATAAGTTAAGTCTTTTCCCACACATGCACAAACACATATACAGGGTACATTCACTATTTAATTATGCAATTTATACCCCCTAGAAAGACCTGGAATTCATGAAGCATTACTGCAGTTCTCATATGAGGTTTTCATCTTTCTTTATTTTTTTTTTCTTTTAAATCTGAGTTTCCTGGGAGTGTAGATTCGAGTTGCCCTGAACCCAGGTTCTCCCATCCTTCTTTGATCATGTCAGAATGTGTCTGTAACTGGATGGATGACCTCGGTTGGAGATACCATCACAGACCACTGCTTTAGGCCCTCTAGGGATAGGGGACTTGAGCAAAAGCACCCCCACTTCCCTTCCTGCACCCCCAGCTTGGTGCTGTCCCCTGCATGCGCTTCCCTCTGCCACCTCTCTGCCTTCCCCTCCCTCCCGAGCCCAGTTCCTCATCATTCACAGGGCCTTCTGGTCTGGCTGCTGCAGGTGCCAGGTACCTGGGGACAGACAGGAGAGGTACGGTGCAGGCAGGGCCTGGGATAGCTCCCCAGTGTCTCTTCTGTGCTGGATGCTGGCCAGACCTTGGAGGAAGGGGCTGTGGGAGTTGGGGAGACCATCAGCTATTGATAACTTTGGTGGCTTTAAATTAAGAATGGATTTATTAAGAAAGAAGTAGGGCCATAGTCTCTTACCTGGGACAAATTTTATGAATAACATGTGCCTGCTTTTGGTTGATGGAGGGACTCCCATGATGAGCACCAAGGAAGACTGAGAGTCCAATTTTCAAACACAAAGTTGTTAATTCTCTAGGCTAGATGGGGGCAGAAATGGAAGATAATGGAACAAAGTGGGCAGGTGTGGGAAATGTTTCTTCTGGAGATGACTTCTAGACATCTTCTGTTCTCTCTCCTGAGGCAGAGACAAAGATAGAGAAAAGGGCCTCAGGAAACACTATAAGGAAAACACAATGCAACGCAGTATAAACGTTACATGACCCTGAATCCTAGAGTCAGAGAGACAGTAAGGAGTGGTGGGGATTGCGGCAAACTAAAGCATGTATGCCCCGCCCAGGGGTGACCGCTCAAAGTGAGTAGATTGTAATCATGATAGCGTACAGAGCTCCTGATTTTTTGACAAAAGCCAGAAGCAGGGTTATTTTTAAAATTTGGTATCTCCTCATTTTTAAATGTTTTCCACAAGTTGGAAAAAAAATGTTTAAACTATGCAGGCTGTATAAGATGGACCTGCAAGTTGTGCGTGGTCCGCAATTTGTGTCCTGTGCTCTGAACAAAGCCCTTCCTGCTTCTGCCTGTCCAGTCTGTTGAGGTTAGGTTAGGAACTCCCTGCCTGCTAGCAGAGGGGTGCACCAGCAACTTTTTGGCATCTCCTGCCAACCTTCAGATGCTCTGTGTGGAAAATACAGTGCCAAGAACAGAGCCACGATGGCTGCAGGGACCCTGGCCTGGTCGGCATCGCCTCCTCCCAGTTCTCATCAGCTGTGCACCCCTCAGACCCCGTCCCATTCGTGCCGGCAAGCAGATTTCTCACCCCAGGCAGCTCTTCACTCCTGGCAGAGGATGGCATGACAGACGGGGATAGAGATGTTAGCCAAAGCAGGCTTCCTGATTAAAAAAAATCTCATTTTCCCCCCAGGGCTGCCAAATTTAGCAAAGTGCCATTCCAGCTGCAGTGCTTCCAAGCCGCCTCAGATCATCATAACGTCACAGTCCCCGGGGAACACTCAAGGAAATTACCTTCTAGCACCAATTTCCTATGCAGTCTGATCACCCAAACTTAGCCAGGGAGGCCTGGCCTCCAGTGTTTGGCATCGGAGACTCAGGACCCCTTAAGATAAGCTGATGACATCTTCCTGCCAGGATCCCCTCGCATGAGAAAAGAGAGCCAAAAACAGGAGTTAGAGGTAAGGGTTCTCCACTGACAATGAGCTCCACCCTCTCAAAGGGGCTGGGAAAGATTAGCAACTGGGTCGCTGGGAGTGAGTTGTAGCAAATGACAATGGTCTTCAAATATCAGAGAGCACATGAAGAGGACATCAGTAGAGGCTGTGTGGCTCCTGAGAGCAGACAGGTGTTGCAGCAAAATTGCATTTAGTTCCACAGAAGGAAAAAAAATTATCCCCTTGAGGGCTATTTGTTTAGAAAATGCTTACCTCTTTATTTTGTAATGATTTCAAGCTTACAGAAAAGTAACAAGAATAATGATCTTGAATAAGAGATCCCAACTACCCTTCCCTGAGATTTGCAGTGACATTTTTGCCACATTTATTTTAACATTAATATCAAAATCAGGAAATTAATCTTTGATAAAATATTACTGCAGAATCTGTAGTCCATATTTAAATGTCTCCAATGTTTCAGTACTGTTCTTTTAAAAATTTCATTTACTTATTTTTGTTTATTTAGAGGAGAAGTGAAAATGTATCAAAAAGTTTTAGAGCAGGAATAAAAGAAAGTAAAGTACACTTGGAAGAGGGTCAGGCGGGCAACTTGAAAGGTCAAGTGCATAGTTTGACCTTTGACTTGGGCCAATAATGTTCTTTACAGCAAATTTATTTTCTTCCGGCCCAGCATCCAGTCCAGGCTTGTGCGTTGCTTCTAGCTGTCACGTTTCTTCTGTGTCCTTTAATCTGGGATGTTTCCTCACTTTTCTGTCTTTTGTGCTGTTGACGTTTTTGAAGAGCACAGGCCACTTGTTCTGTAGAAAGCTCCTTTGGGTTGGTCTGGTATTTTCTCAAGACTAGATGCAGGGTATGCATTTCCTGCAGGCATACTGCATGCTGGCTGTCTTGACAAGTGACTGGGGTCTGTCACCAAAGAGTGTTGAGGCACGATCTGGAGGGCCAGAGGGAAACTCTCCGTGAGAGGCTGGTTTGCCATATCTTGGATTCTGTGATTCTCCCCAGATAATTTCAGCTGGGTTTCAGAACTTGCTGTGAGCTCTTCCTTCTTCATCAGGTAAGCTGCTTTCCTACCTCTGCTTTACTCAGTTTACCAAGGGTAGGGCAGTGGCCCAGCGGCCACTGTGAGGCCACGGGAAGTTCATCAGGGACCGCAGCTTGACTGTCTGCTGTGCCCAGCAGTTGCAGAATGGATGGACGTGCGGTAGGAAGACCACGCCCAAAGGCTAGGCTTGGGTCCAGGCTTCTCTGCTTCTCTTCCTGCATCCGATCCAGACCGGGGCTGGGTTGTGTTCACGCAGGGAGCTAAGGACCCAAGCAAGAATGAGAGGCCAATTTTTAAACTTCTGAGCCCCAGCATCTTGGCAGTGGGCAGCCTCCTTCTGTCCCCTGAAGGAAATGCAGAGAAGCCAGCAGGGGGCTTTTCTGAGTGGAGGGTAGAGAAAACTCTGAAGGGCTTTTTGGTAAACAGACTGATGGAAGTCTTGTGGAAAAGGATCCAGGAAAGTTTTGAATCTGACGCCCTTCACAGTCATGCCCAGTTTTGTCTCAATTCTTACCTAAGACTGGTGCATAGAGCATCACTCTGCAGGCACCACACACAAAGCCAGGCTCAGCCAAAAACCTCTGTTTGGGCTTTTCCTGAAACCCTCTAGTCTAACCTCTCCCAAAAGTCCTCCCTACCCTCTTCCTCCTCCCAGACCGTACTGACATCTGACATCTACCCTCTCAGAACTTCTGTAGCACGGGTCTGCGTTACTCAGTGACACTGAGCACAGACAGCCCATTTTCAGGATTTAGATTCTTAAAATTATGACCAGATATTACAGCAACATGGGAATGTCCCCGAGTAACCTCCAGATCTTGTTTTCCCACCCCTAGAGGTAACCATCATCTTGAATTTGGTATAGAGTATTCCCATTCATTTTGTAAAAATAAACTTTATTTTTAAAGAATGGTTTCCATTTACAAAAAAATTGCAAAGATGGTACAGAGTTCTCCAGTACAGAACCCCACATCCAGCTACCCGTGCTATTAACATCTCATGTTAGGATGGTATATGTGTTATAATTAATGTACAATATTGATACATTGTTAACTAATATGTATGCTTTATTAGATTTCCTTCATTTTTATCTAGCATCCTTTTTCTGTTCCAGAATCTCATCTGAGATGCTCCTTGACAGGTAGCTCTCAGGTCCCGTTAGGCACCTCTTGGCTGTGTCACTGTCTCAGGCGCTCCTAGTCTTTGATGACCTTGACAGTTTTGAGGAGTATCCGCCAGGTTTTTTGTAGACTGTCCCTGAACTGGGATTCGTCTGATGTTTTTCTCATCATTAGACCGGGGTTATGGGGTTTTGGGAGAAGGATCTCAGAGGTAAAGTGCCCTTCTTGTCACATCCTATGAAGGGTACACGTTATCAACAGGACTTATCACTGCTGATGTTGACCTTGATTACCTGGCTGAGGCAATGTGTGCCAGGCTTCTCTATTGTAGAGTTGCTGTTTTGTTTTTTTTTTCCTTTTCCATATGGTACTGTACTCTTGGAAGCATCGTATTCTAGTTGATTAAGTTGTTTCTCACAGGGATATGGGTTGACAATTCTGATACTGCTATACATGTACACTTAATTGAACAGTTATGTAAACACATGGTGGATGGTGAGAGCCAGGCTTCTCACTTTTAAAATTGAAGCTTACAGATAAGAAGGGGAAGAGGTTGGAATTATGATAATTATGGTAATGGATTCAAGTTTGAGAGCCAGCATGAACTCACTGTTAGCTTAAAATAGATACGGATGGTTACATATAGAACTATTTATAGATATGTGTTTATGCACTAGTTAATATGCATACATATATTTCCTTGCTTTGTCAGCTGAGAGAGCCTGCAAGCAACAACACCCCAATAACAGAATTTACCTAATGCCCAGATCTTTGTTCTAATACGATTCTCTAATAGAAGGAATTTCAAGTACTTGGAGAAATAAAATTTTACTACCAATACAGTCATTAGTAAATAAAATATATTATTATATATTACAAGTACATGAATTGTATATTGTATATTTTGTAAGTTTGTGAACTTACAAATGGTATCAAAGTGTATGTATCTTTCTGCAGTTTTTTCCTGCTCTCAATTTATCATATGAGATATACACATAGTTTGATATGTAGACTTAGTTTATTCATTTTTACTACTGAATAGTAATATGCCATACTCATTTTATGCAGTTTATTCATCCATTTGCCTATTCATGGATGTTTAAGATATTGTAAACAGACACTGCAAATATTCCTTATAAAGGGCCACAAAATTTTGTATGAGATTCCATCCTCTGTGCATTGTTTCCTTGTTTTTTCCTAGATTGAACTTCAGTGTTGACACCAGTATGAGAGAAGAGAGGCTAGCAGAGGCAGGGGGAAATTTGGAGGAGAATGGAAGACAGCCTGCAAAGTTAGTGGCCGCTCTGTATCTGACTGCTTGAACAGGCAGGATTTCTCCAGGGCTTATATAATTAAGAAGGATAATTGCTGCCTATGTTAGTAAGACGATCTTCAACTTGACCAGATAATACCAAATTGCTTTACAAATTAGTTATACAATTCATATTCCCACCAGGAGGGCTTAAGAGCTGCAGTGCTCCATACATATGCCAAGACTTGCAATTTTTAGGCTTTTAAATAATGCCTGTTTGAAGAATGAGGAATAGCTATTACTGTGATTGTAGTTTTCATTCATATTTTTCTGATACTCAGAGATTTGGTGTATTTTGGTGTTTATTTGGATCATTCGTCAATTGTCTTTTGCTGGTTTCTCTAATTGTTTGTTCTTCTGTTATTAATATATTGAGAATTCTTTTTTTTTTTTT